GTTTTCCGATGGTCTTAGGCAACTCCTGAGAAAGGGTTGTTTGACCCCCCCAAAGGGGTTGTGACCCACAGGTTGAGAACCGCTGCAGTAGAAAGAGCGGAGTGGCTGGAGAGGTGGGGCCAGGAGGGAAGTGGACAAGGGGAGTCAGAAAGAGTTTCAACACAGGCGTGACCAAGTCTGTGGCACATTTTGGAAAGTTAATTTTGGCTGCTGTGTGGACAACAGATTTGTGGGAAGGATCCTAGACTCCAGAACCTCTAGGTCGGGGCGGGGCAGGGCCTGGGGAATGGCCCTCTGGGATATTTCTGAAGTTGCGCGTCGCGTCGGGCTTGCAGGCCTGTGCATCGGCAGGCAGGGGAGGTAGGTGATGCAGGATACATTCTAGAGGAAACTGCACACACATCACCCTGAGGTTCCGAGCTTCTCTCACCCCCGCTGGCTGCCTCCCGGGGACTCCGCTCCGGGCCAATCTTACACCGTGTGTGGAGTCAAAGGAAGGCGCAGCATCAGCTTCTGACGACCATGTTCCATCCGGACCTTTCTAACCGAAGTACAATCGAGGGCAGATTGTCCAGTAGGCAAGATTAGCACAGGCTTACTGGTGCCTACTCATGGGGAGTGAACAGCTTCCCCACAGAAAAACACTGCAGGCTAGTAAGCAAGCACAAGCAGGCCTGCGCACACCTGGCTTTTGGGTACTCCAGTGGAACCAAATCTATTTTCATTCCCCTTCCCTTGGGGATACTCCGCCTCACGCTGCTTGCAGTTGCAGAGCAGTCAGTCCGGCACAGGGCGAATGTCGGGACTGTCGGGGCCGGGCACAGCGCTCAGAACCACTGGTTTGGGGCACTTCTCCAGCCCTCCCTCCTGCCCCCCGAGATTCCCTCGGTGGAACACAGGTTGCTCAGTCAAGGCTGTGCCCTGTGGAATCGTGGAGCCCTGGAATCCGCCTCCAGAACTGTGCCGCGTGGAGGGCAGGACTGGGGACAGGCTCTGGAGCTGGAATCCAGGGCTTTCTCTCAAACATGAGCTAGGAGGGATGGCGTTTCTCTAAGGAGCCTGTCTCATCCCTCTGCCGTTCAGCCACGCTCTGGGCAACTGGAGTCTTTGGGGACTGTGGGCATCGAATCTTAGATGGAAAATCAACCATCAACTAAAACGAAGCCCCTCAGACATCATCAGTCCTGTGGTTTAACCCCGGGATGAATATTAAAATCACCCCCATATTAGTAGGAAAATAAAACGGTTTAGTGACTTTGGAAACCAGTCTAGCCCTTCTTTGAAATGTGACAGTTGTCATATGACCCTGAACTTTCACTCCTAGGTGCAGACCAAAGAGAAACGAGACCAGATGCCCAGAAAAAACTTCTGCATGATCATCCAAGCATGTTCACATTCTATAAATCTGTTAATATCGATATGGACTGAGTGTTCATGATGAATTCCTACTGTGAATTCATAATACATATTCTTAAAGTCTAGGAACCAATGCAATCTATATATTATGAATTCACAATATGAATTCAAAATGCTCTAAAATTAAGTTCTAGTGGATTGCTGTGAAACGTAGTGTATCCTAAAACCCTAAGCTGCACAACTTTAAATTGGTGGATTGACTGGTGATTCATAGCTCAATAAGACAATTAAAA